AACTAAAAAAGATAGCAGCAAGGAAACTTTTAAGTAACCTTAAAATAGTTTACTATAAATATTAAGAATAGATACTAGTTTAAGCTAATAAAGATTAATATATTGGAAAAATAAGAACATTATATACTTAGTAACTTCTTTATAATTGCTAAAAAATATTACGGTTTCTTAGTAAACTTCTAGTATAAAAAGAATAAAGAATACCATTAGTTTATATATATATAAAAGTAGTATGCAATAGTTTTTTAAAACTTTGAAATTTAGTATATTTATCAACCCTTACATTTACTTTTTACTATTAAAGTAAACTGAAAGTTTTACAGAACGATAACATAAAGTTAGCTATAAAAATACTACTAAAAATGAAAGCTTGTTTTAATAAAATACAAACTTAAAACAAATCGTCTATATATTTCCGCCACATTATTAAGACAGAGTGTGTTGCAGTCTTCTTTAATATATTATATTTAATTTTGTAATAACACTTTTAAACACTTCTACTAATCAAGTTATAATAAAAATATAGTACTTTAAACAAAACGTTTAAAAATAGGCCACGGTATACCGATGAACTTAAAAAAAAAAATTGGTAAGTTCGCGATTTACAGCGTTGAAAATATATAAGTAACTACGGTTAAATAACTTGAAAATGTGTGTTCAGATCACCTTTTTAAAATCACATTTTAACTTAATAGCTCTCCTTTTTTCCACCGCAGCTATTTGTTGCAAACGGTCCAATTCTTCTTCTCTCTTCCTTTCCTCGGCCTTACAAAGTTATAAATTATACAAATAGCTTAAAATAAACATATAATTACCAAAGTTACTTGCTAAAATACTATAGAAAATAAGAGAGTTTATAAGTAATTACTATTATTATTTGATTAGATAAAAAAATTAATAGATACTTTTTTTAAAATAAAAACACAAACTTACTAACTTAGTACTTTGGGTGTAAAAACTTACCATATGTAAATTACTGTTACTAACTTAAGTTAAATATATATTTCTTTAGTACAATTAAATAACTCTCAGTCAATTCGCTTTAAATAATATCACTTCCTGACCTCTCTTTGGAATCTTCTAACTTCCTTATATTCCAACTTGATTTTTTTTTTTCGACCTAACTTCTTGGGGTGAAACCTTGTACTTTTTTTTTACTATAATAGTGCAGCTTAAAAGTTGTAGCAAGATCACCTATTATCTCCCGAGCAAGTAACTTTAATTTGTTCGATTTCGCTATCCCCATCGTCTGGCAAGATGTTGCTTTCTGAGGTCCCAACCAAAGTTAAGACTAAAATTTTTTATACTTGTTATTGCTTAAAATTAACATACTTGAGTTATTCCGAGAAAATATAAATAGTATGACGCAAAGAAACAAAGCAGAAAAAAGGTATATATATTGCAATTCCATATGAAATTAACTTTCAATAACTTTTCGTAGCTTTAAAGATGTCCGCGCCAAATATTAACTATCGTGGTTATTATCTTCAAATAAAGTACTGCCCTGTTTAAATTTTGAAGCTACGTGTGACCGGCGCTTATATTTTCCAACAATCGCCCTAACTAAGAGGCTCTAATTACTCTCTTACTGCTAGAACTCGTTACCTTAATTTCCTGTTCCGTCAGGGCGTACATATTCAGCGTAAATGGCTTTTCCAGGTGTTTGCTGAACTCTCCTAAACTCTCGAATTTAGTTGTAAATCTCAGGTTTCCCGGAGTTTTCATAACTTACTGGAAGGCGGTTAAGGGACGTTTCAAAAAGGCGATGGCTTAAATATAAAGATATTATTCTAAGGCTTTTTCTGTATGGTGCAGTGCAGTGCGTCGCGGAATACTGTTCGGTCGTTTTGGGAACAAGAAACTACTATTTCTGGCAACCCTTACACAAAAAAAACAAAAGCTTATGTCATAATGCGGTGAACTGCATTGTACATGCAACCTTCGTTTTTAGCACAACAAATTCTTGCTGATGCATTGCAATAGACGTCGGAGCGCATAGATTGCCAGCTTCTACGTAATTTACGTACCCCTTTCCACATTAGCCAACTCAAGGCGCTACCGCCATAAAAGGTCAAAGGCATCTGATAACAGTACGGTTTTATTATAATAAAAAGCGCTTTACTCATCTTTGCATTAGAAATGAGACCTCATTAACGGTCCTAACCCGCAAGCACGTCGTAATAACCTGAGATACAAAAGAAGTGGGTAGAATAACTTTGAAAAATGATGAGTAATCGTCCTATTGCCAACGTACAGGGTGAACTACATGTAAATCGGTCGGAAGAGACATGTCTCACTACACTCTTACTTCATCTCTCAGTGCTAATAGGAGCGGCTACCTATACGTTAAGTTTAGCTTGTTTTTAAATAGAGATTTAGGGAATTATTAAGGCTAGGCCAGGAAGGCTATAGAGAGTGCAACTTAGGGGAGAAACCATAAAGTCATACTTAGGCGAACGCATTAATACAGAAAATGATAGCCCTCGATGCCATCTTAAAGTTGAAGACAAGAGTACTAATCACATGCTAGATGAGACGGGGGAGTTGCGAGTGGTTAAATGTTTCCGCAAAAAGTTAAGCTGCTACTTCGATGAGGTGTTGCATGCCTTAACGGTAGCCTTGCCTGCCGCTGACAAGCCGCTAATGGACCATCAGTTTATGTGCACTTACACATCACAGTTTAATATTATTAAAATAGTTGCCATTTTTACAATGCTGTAGGAAGGTCTCGGGGGCCACCACCAAGTTGACGAGGCATAAGGATTGATTTACAGCTACCAACAGACCATGTTTATACAATTTTTGGTTATGCTAACAGTGCCAATGCCTTTCGCTGATTCTCTTAAGTATTTTATTTGTGACGAGTAAGGCTATTTAGAGGTGAATTTAACTCCGAAGGCGTGCTAATGGTAGTTGGGAGGCAGCTCTAACGGCAAAATAATTAACAAAGAATGCAAGCTTGTCCTGCTCGCCCTCAGTCACAATGTCGCCGTGACCAGCAAATTAATTTTCAGTACGAAGAACACATGGTGTTTCAACGCTAACCTATAGTTTTTTAGCTCTTAAGTTGGAATCACGCACAATATGCCGAGTTTTCCTTACTTTTGTCGCTTACGCTCATACCTCTCCTGTACACATTTAGTTACCAGCACTAACTTGTCCATTATGTGTTAAGCAGTTTATACCCTTTTTGGGAACAAATTCTGAAGTCAGAGGGGTTAAAGTTTATAGTATTGATAAAAAATAACAGTAGAGCTTATAATTATAAGTAATAATAAACAGGAATACTGCATGCATCAAAAATTCCTAATGGTTTAGTAATATTCCTGTAAATAATTAATATACATACGGCAGATCCTTAGTAACACTGAAGGAGTTAAGTACTTACTACTTGTTTATTTTAAGTGAACCTTTTTATATACTTGCAGTTAAAAGTTTAAAACAATTTTTAAGGTTAACAAAAACTGCCTAAAAATGGAAATTGCATTGAAATGATGAATCTTTTTTTTAACACGCCAACACAGTAGCTATAAGTTAAAAACTTGGTAGCAAGGTTTTTATAAACTAGATTAAAGCGTAAGCTGAGGCAACTAAAATAATAGTTTTGATAAATTTTTTTAAGTAAAAACCCCATTCGCGTAGACTCTCAACCTGGCCGTAGCGCCTATAACTAGCGAATTTCGTGTATAGTACAGGGTACTGTTGGTGAATCATGACCGGGTTTGAGTTAAGCGTACTGTTTTGTGCTGTTGCGCTTGGTTCGGCTCGGTTTGACCTCAGAATTGGTAGTGCTACTTCCTATATAGGCTCGCCCTATGTAGGCTACTGGTACTATTGGTAAAGAGTGCTTCTAAGTAGTATATATACTACATTGAGTGCGGTGAGCCCACAATAAAGTGGTTAAAAAAAGATGTAGCAATTAAGTAAACTATTGGAAAACTACACTAAGGAGACAGGGGTGAGAGGCGTGCAAGCTTACTAAATTATAATGAAACTCGTAAGAAAACTCCGGCATTTTTCTTAAACTTAGAAGTATGCAACCCTTCTCTAAATTGCTAACTTGCATCCCAGAGATGAACACCGAGGGTCAGCCTACAAGGCGGAAAGAAGGGATAACGAGTACTAGAGGAAATACTCTGCTTTACTAAAAAAACTTCAATAAATATACCTTAAAAGTTTAATTTTAAAAAATGTTACTAAATTTGAAGTGTTTTAACTTAAAGTAGCAAAATAGTATATATTAACTTATTTTTTAAATTTCATGTTATATAATAAATTATGTAACCACAATTTATGTCAATTACTAATTTGCAGTCGTTAGAATATCTTACTGGTTCCTATTTAAATGCAAATTAAGCCTTGAAGACCTTTTATTGAAACAAAAGGTGGAATATCCTACTAAATGGCGCTCAATTTTACTACAACAATTTAACTAAATACCTTGATTTTTTCTCTCTTGAGGTTTGTTAGCGCCCACTCTTTGGAGTGTTGGGAAACCTTACAAACGTAGTTTTTAAAAAAAAAATTCATGTCAACCTAAAAAGAGTAATATCTTTTATATTAAGTGAACAGCCTTCAAATCATTGGAAAAAAATCCATAAATCAAAAACTGACAAATAGGGCAAATTACTGTGGGGCTAACGACCTCAATAGTTATAGGATGCTTAAATTTTATTATTCTTACCTCTTAAGTTGTACAGAGATGGCCATTTTTAAAAGAATAAAAAATTACCATAACAAGAAATTCGACACGTTAATAGGTAGTCAACCTATTACAAATGTTTTAAAAGGCGTTGTAGAACGCAGTACACCACCAAAATTTCGCTGATTGGTATTACATGATGGATAATGCTTTTGAAAAAAGGGAGTATATAACCAAAGTTCAGGACGAAGTAAAGCCTCTATAGCGGCCCTCTTAAGAGCATTTAGATTGGGGTTTGGATTGAACGTCTTTACTGAGTTCTGTTAGCTTGTAGTATTAGATATCATAAATATGCAAAATGGGCGCTTACACATCACGGCCGGCCACACTAGTTGTCGACTTTTGGAGAGATGAATGGAGGCGAGTTTATGTGTTACTAAAAACTTCTATTCTAAATTATTATTATTCCTCTTTGAATATTTGCTTTATTGTTTCCATTTTTTAATTTATAATAGAAAGCGGTACGTCAACTTTATAAATGTTTTATCTAAATATTTAGAAGTTATTAAAGATGAAACGCTCCCTCCTTTGTTAAAAGCTTGCTTGTAAACATAACTTAATGTTCGTTTAAAGAGATTTCATAATTTTGACTATTTACTAGAACAAATGAGCTTGCAAAAGCCAAATATTTACTAACAGAGAATGATTTATCATATAAAACTCCTGTTTCAGGTTAAATTATATTATATTTTTTAATCAAAAATTTAACTATAAGTTTAGGTCTAACGCCTTTACATGTGTGCGCTATTACAGGGAGTTATGAATGCGCTCAATACTTTATACAGAAATTCTCAGGTTTTAAATAGAAGCTTTTGAGATATGCTCTTTATTCTTTTCATTTGTATACCTGGTAAGGTGATGTCCCCTTATTAACAAGAAATGGTGTTTCGGCTCTGCACCTTGCCTGTTTTTACGATCAAGAGCCCATTGTTCAGTAAATTTCACTAATTATCTTCTGCTATTTCTTTATTATCAAACGTGGCATATCTTTTATGAAAGAACCATCACTTTTTAATATATATAAATTTAACAGACTGCTTATTCCTTTCTTGAAGGGCACTATTTCCCCAGAGAACGGCATCACTGCGTTACATTTGTGCTGTTGGATAGGAAACATAAAGGCATATTTTTTAATACTTACAAAACTTTCTTTATATATACTTTAAGTGAAAAATAGCTTGTGAAATTGTTACTTAAAAGTGGGGTCCACGTCGACTTAAGCGATTCGCAAGGCTTCACGCCTCTTCATATTGCCTGTCATCGGTACCAACTGCTCTTCTAATTATTCTTTTATTAGTTATTTACCGTTAATAAAATAAAGCGGTTTTGACCCGATCGTTAAACTTCTACTTTCTTGTGGTGCCTGCCCTTCCGCCGTCTCAGCTAACTTGGGTACTTTTTCAATTCCGTTTTATATATGTGATGCTCATGCTATTTTAACACGAGATACACCTCTTCACTTGTCCTGTTACGAGCATCATCACATAGTGTGTGCGCTGCTTCTCTCTCTCAACGGCTTCTTTTTTGAAACGAAAAGCCCTACAGCTGTTTGTGAAATTAGCCAACGGAAAAGCACAGAATCCATTATTATAAATAGAAGGTCGGACAGCCATGTGAACGCTCTTCCTGAGGCAAAATCTCATCCTGTTTCTGTGCTTCTTGACGACTTCAACTCGAACCAAAAAGACCAAAAAAATATCTTATCTCCTGAAGACGATACAAATAAATTTCTAGCGACTCTTGTCAAAAGGTCAGGGTCCTTTTCTACGGGGTCGGCCAGACGGAAAAGCCAGAATGAAGAAGCTTTCATCGACTTTCCTTTATGGGAGATCAAGAAAGCTCCTCAGGGGGCTCCCTCTCCCGTGGACGTTAATGCGCAGGACAAGGAGCTGAACACACCGCTTCATTTTTGCAGCAGAAAAGGCTTCAAAACTATTGCCGCCTGGTTACTTGCTGCTGGTGTCCATTACGTACCAGTTGTCTGTTCTTGAATATATAAACCTTTATTTCTGCTAGGGGCAGATCCTTCCGTCGTCAATGTGTATGGGGACACACCCCTCCACAGGTGTCTCTTTCTTACTTCTTACGTACTTCCAGTTATTTGTTTTTTTTACTTCTCTATATACATTTAGTGCTTGTTATGGTAGGCAGTTTGAACTGGTTTATATGCTCCTTCTAAGCTCGAGTGGTATGATGATTTTTTTAACAGTAAAACTTTTATTGCGTGAAAAAAATACGATTAGGTGAAATAAATATGAGCCGGTTTAATATTTTCTCCGAGTCTCCCTTACATGCTGCTTGCACCTCTGGCGCTTCGGTTTTTAATACTAATACTATTTCAAGTTGTTAGGTTTGAAAATATAACAAATGAAAGGATCGGATAGTGCGACTCCTTATAAGCCGCCCGTCTCTAAACGTTAATATTCAAGGGCCGGATGGCCACACTGCTCTGTACTGCTACTCAATTTTATTTAGAAGTAATACCATTATTATGTAACGCAAAACACGTGGTTTCTTTTGAAGCCACTCTGCTTGTTGGAATGGCCACGTCAACACAACATTACTTCTATTGGAGCACGGCGCTGATATCAGTAAGACAACTTTTGATGGCAGCTCTCCTATGAAATGGGCTTACACAAAAGGTGGCATCTCTATATGTAAATCGTTTACACTTCCTCACGTGCCTTATTTGGTGTACGCGCCCCGTCCATAATTTTTCTTATATAAAGTAAAATATTGAGTATTATCCTGTCGTTAATTATTATTACTATGCCTAATTTTACTGTAGGCCACGACGACATAGTGGAACTCCTTCAAACTTATTCTGGTGATCGAGAATTGTTCCCGATCCCTTCGCCCTTGGGTAAAGTTCGAGCCATCACTCAAGTAACGCATAACGACCACCGCTATAAAGTTTGTTTATACACATTTGCGTATTCCGGTTGACAGGGAAAAGTAGAAATAGTAAAACTCCGTAATTTTCTAAATAAAGACTTAAAAGTCGACGGCAAAGGCATCACCTTTCTGGAAGCCATAGGAAACGGTCTGTAAACAAGAAGCTTCAAGTTTTTCTACTTCTATTTTCTTTCCATTATAAACTGCAGGATCATTCGGGAAAGTATATAAGGCCGAATTTTTAGGAAAGATTGTTGCCGTTAAGAGACTTTATTCTCACTCTATTCGAGGACGGTAAATATAACATTCCATAATTTTATGTGATAACAATTGATGAGTATATATTACACGTGACGCGTGCATTTAACATGCTTTCACGCTGCCCCCTTTTTTACTTATCGTATTAATGAGTAAATAATTGCTAAGCAATTATTTTTAAATGTTTCTATATACAATATGCAGCTCAGACGTGGATATGTTTGTCAAAGAAGTAAGTATACTCTGCTCGCTAAACCATGTGAACATCATTAAATTCTTTGGCGCCTGCACCACGGACCCTACGGTTGTCTTTTGTTATAGTATTGTATTAATCTTCATTTACTCATACTTTGCAGCAATTTTGCATTCTGACGGAATATTGCGCTAATGGAAGCCTGCATGACACTTTACACGTTGAGCACGTGTATTTTTTTCCATATATTTATTATAGACTCCTAGCAAATAAATTATATAATAAGATTTTTTGGGATGCCCAAGAAACTTTCTATAATATTGGGAGTTGCAAAGGGAATGAAGTATTTGCACACCTTGCCTGTCCCCATCATACACAGAGACTTGAATAGGTACTAAATATTGGAGGGTTTCTGATCTTCTTTTATTATCTGTTAATAATACTCTAGTTCTTAGCTTTTCTTATTATTTGCTAACATTAGTTTTAGTATAATTGTTTAAAACTTAAGATATATTTCTTTTGGTTATTTTTATTTGCGTAACATATTTTCGGCGCTATTCTCATTCAGCTATTCTTTTTGTTATTATTTTATTATGTTATGCTGTATTATAGTATATTAATAACTTTACATAGTTTCAATATATTGCTGAAGAGAAACTACGAGCCGGTTATTGCTGATTTTGGAGAGGCTCGTTATTTGGACACCAATAATGGCGGTACATCCTTTAAAGAACTGACTCGGCAGCCCGGAGTATGTCACTATGCTTACAACGCGTTATTGCTACTGATCAATCGTTTACTAGAACCTGAGGTGGATGGCCCCTGAGGTGTTTGCTCAGAGCAGTAAGTACACCCTCAAAGCAGACGTCTTCAGCTTCGCCTTGTGCGTATGGGAGCTTCTCGCACTTCAGGTACATCTTTAGGCATGTGCCTGGGTCCGTTCCTAAGCGGTTCCGGCTGTAGGTCCCCTTCCGTCAGTTGCAGCCGGCGGCAGCAGGAGCAGCCATGGCTTACCACCACCACCGTCCGGCCATTCCGAAGTCCTGTCCGGCGTATCTTTCTGTGTTACTAAGGCAGGCTTGGGAATCTTCTATAGGAAAGAATTACTTATGAGCCTTTGATAGAAGTTTAATGACATGATTTTGTTATAATATTTGGTACCAGACGAAATTTGCACAAACTACTAACGTTATCTTTTAAGTAAATTAATTACTGTGTACTTTATAAATTAGTATTTTCTTTCTGAGAATAACTGAGGAAAACTGTAAATGTTTCAAGTGTTTTATAGAAATGCAACCTTGTATCCTATTTTTATAGATAAGAGACCCAACTTTTCTGAGGTGTGCGCTTGGTTAGAGGCCCATATGAATGAAAAAGAAATTCACGACGCAGATATTTCCCTCGTACTATATATATATATATAATATATTATCTACTGGCTTGACTGTACCGGTGGGTGTTGCTCGTATGGTTTCTTTCCGTTGTGCACGTATTGGAGGGAGAGTGATAGTTGTACACGCATCCGAATGTGCATCATGCTAAGTGCTACGGCTTTCATTACTATGGCGAATACTATGCACCCATTACCGCCGCCACTACATTGACAATGTAGTAAATATTGGCCGTCACCGGAACACCTCGTGCTTATATCCGTAATTAATCAAATACTCTGCTTGCAAGGCGCTTGTCTGTTATATTTAAGTTGGGCGAGTGTTCCAAAAACATGTGAAAAGCATTAACAAATTATTTAGACAACCGACTTTAACAGTACTCTAATAAATCAGTGCAGGATTGGGATACTACTAAAGCGATGGTTCTTAGCTATGTCTTACTTTGACGTTGTGGTGTTTATAGATTGCACTAGATTATTTGTCTACTATATAACGTGTTTATGAATAACTGCAGGGAATAATCATGTTGAAGGAAAGGCTCAAAAATGAAAAAATAATGAATGCGGTCCCGTATGGAATGGAAATAGACAAAAGAGGATACGTGTGCGGACTCTCACGGAATTGAAAAAGTTTCCATATAAATTATATGTAGCAAGTTTAATATGGAAATGGTTAAAAAGTAGATTTTAGAAAAACTATGTGTATAACATCTTAGACATTTATTAAATCTTATTACTTTTATAAGATAACGGGGGTCTGTTACCGAGATTCTTTTTTTTAAAGTCTAAACATTTTAGCCTTTTCCGTCTTCATAAAAAATTTCAGTAAAATAGTTATTAATATCTAGTAAAGCACAACCAGAGCATCCAACTCGAAAGAAAGTCGTATGAGCTGATAATGGTCTTTTTCAATAGAATCTAGAGAACTTAATATCTGAAAGATTATAAGAATTTAGATAACGTATAACAATAATAAATATCTACGCGAACCAACTGTTCAACTTATATATACTACGAAAAGTTAATAACTACATTCAATAGTGAATGAGAATGTGTGGACAACTTGCGAGCCAGCTCTTCGATCCCCAGGGTTCGAGGGGAAGTTTTAGTAGACCAAGGCTCAAGAGTTATCTATATAGAGAGCAATAACAAGAGTTTAAAAATAATTATAATAATCACACACCGTAAATTTGCTATTAAACTGGTCCATAAGCGCGTAACAATCTTTAATTAAAGTTGTTAAGTTATTAATATTATCCTTCAGAAGGTTGGTATTCTCACACAAACAAGATGATTGGCCCTTTTACCAATAGAAACATATATTAACTTTGGTTGTAATACTTGAAGTTGGTATTAAGCCACGGGCCCATTAAAAAGAGCCCAACTCATATGCTCCTCCGCCCACACAACAGCGGTAAGTGCGGGATAGGCAAGGGCTTGTGTTTGTAATATATATAGTAATTAATGTCTATACACAGGAAGAGATATTCTCTAATTTTAGTTTAAGATCATGCATGTTCCTTCTGATACTGTTCAGCATTTCCTCTAACTGTGATCTTTTATTAGAATAGTTAATAGAATATATGAATATCCTGAACAAGAATTTACAGTAACAGAAATATTAACAGCACTAAGTAAGCAAGTGGCTCACGTGTATGATTTAGACAATTAGCAAATTTTAATTGCAATAATAATTTATATGTAATAAATGTTAAGCGGCACAAGAAATTCTAAGACCAAACAGAAATAACTATGTACAGGATAAAAGCACAATTTTTTTCCCCACCAAATGGAGAGAAATGGAAAAGTACCACCAGAAATAACATAAAAACAAGAGTCATTAAACTTTTCAGCTTTTTACTTTGAAATTATATTTGAAGGAAGGTCTCTACGAACATCAAGGGGCAGAAAATTCACGTCTGAAGCGAATATCTCGGAGGCTCCTCGATGATGCCCAAGAGCGTCTAGGAAGACACAGCAGGAGCGTACTTTCTCTTCCAAACTAATAAAAATAAGATACAATTATAATTGTATAGTGGCGAGTATATACATATATAATAAATAATCATGATAGATTTAACATAAAAGAAATATACGCAAATGTATAAGTATTAGATACGAGCAAACGCCTCAGCATTTGAGAATGATATTATCATTAAACGAGTATTAATACTCTACTTGTAGCATTCGAAAACCGTGCAGAGCCTGCTAATGCTGTACAATACTTACAGTTTCTTTTATCTCAACGGAATCACAACTTTAAAAAGGCCAGCTGTATCGGTTATGATAGCGCTACACTAAGCAAGTCCCGCTCCATTATAAAGCAAGACAACACTATTTTCTGTATCAACTCGTAGCCTATACGCAACTCCCATGCCACATTAAAACTCCAAGCAAGTATAACTTAATGCCGCCGCTTGGTCTGAGCCCTGCGCCGAATGGCGGGATTTGCACATTTCCTTAAAAAAGTATCATTGCTTGCTAAAGTAATTATTCCCTTCAAACTGTGATGTATTTATTTCCTTATAAAAAAGATTGGCTCGTTTATAACGCATAGCCACTGTTTAATGAGTTTGGTTATATTGATAATAAAGACTCGATATACGCCAACAAAACATGATCTCTAAAAAAAAGTTTCAGCAGTATATAATTGTGAACTTTAAAAGATCTTGTTCTAAAGTAAAAAAATTCATAATACATTTAAAAATAATGTCATGCCGTTTTTAAATTAAGTAATAACTAACAAATATAAATATATAATACTAAAAGAGGCTATATGGAAACGATATAACAGTAAAACAATATATATTATTTACAATTGTAAGCATACCAATAAGAAGGTAGCGTAAGGGTAAGTAATTAAGTTAGGCGGGCAGGCACTACTACGCCCTCGTGAAAAAATATTAACTTTCTACCTACGCAGCTTCTTATGAAACGGTTATCCACGGTCGTGGGAATTACGACGGAAAATCTAGGCTAAAAGTCCTTGCATAAGGGGTTCAGCAACAAAAAATAAAAAGCAAAAAGGGTAAAGAAAGCATTTTAACAAGAGAAGTTATACTTCTATGTAAGTAATTTAACTTAAAATAAAATAAAAAAAAGTATAACAATAACGTTCAGATATGGAATAGAAGTTAATCATATTAACATATAAGCACCCGTTAGCGGTAAATTCGGAAGAAATTTTTGCATACTGGCTTAAGTTATAAAATAAAAAAACTTGAGGCTTCGTTTCAGTAGTCGAACCCTTTAAAAGTTAACCAGCTTAAACTACAATTTATAATAAATTTAGACTTTTTATTTATCATAAAACCATAACTATCTTCAATACTAGTTAGTAGGAAAATAGACAAGCGGGAAATTTATATCTTAGAAGAACTATTTAGCTTTTTACAGGTTTATAATATTTTAAAGAGAGCAGAGAGATCAAACAATATATATTTCATAGTATAGTAAAGTAAAATCGCGAAAAAATAGTTCAAGCCCAATTAAAAAATGTGTGTAGATAACAAAACTAAATCGTTACTATTTACTAACCTAATAGAGTAAAAAGAACGATATTATTAAAATTGAAAAACAGGAACCAGAAGCGCGTAAAGAGAATAGAAGAGTAATAAAATAAATTTAATTTAAAAACAACATATAGAAGGGTAATTACAATTTAAAGAATTAAAATTAAAAATAAGTTCGGTGTACCTCTACGAAGGTAAAGTCATTTTCTTCGCAAAATCCTAAAGATGACAATAACTTCGTTAAACCTTTTAAAAAAAACGAGGAAAAAGTTCACTTATTTCGGCGGTTTATTGTTAAAAAATTAATTTTTTACGTAATATTTTTGCATTAAATGTTTCAAAAGGATCCGGATTTAAATCAAAAATTCTGTTTTTGAAATTTAGAGATGGGCGTGGTTAAAAGTAGTTTTAATAAAAACAAAAGTCGAATAAAAAGTCACTTGTTAAGAAGCCACTCCAACAAGGCCATCCTGGTAGTCCCATCTTTATAGATTACCTCCTCCGAGCAAACGTCCTGTACAAAGAAATAATCAGAAAAAAGCACACTTTTAAAACTTGCCTTTTTAAATTTTAAGCACGTCTTCGACTAAAGGACAATTAAGTTGTGAGAGATTGAGAACAGTGGAAGTGTAAAGTTCTTTAAGGTTCAAATCTTTGAAACCTGTACTTTCAAAATTCATGAGGTAAATTCCGTTGCATACAGTTTTCTCCTAGACGTAATTAAAGACCTATTATGTAGTGAAAGAAACGTTATTAATAAAAAACATTTTACTTGCATGAAAGAAGCAAAAACTTAGCTTATTTAATAACTAGGAAAAACCGTAATTATCGAGTACATCCACAATGCCGTATCACCAATTCTTATAAACCCAAATTCTAAACGATACGTAAGAAAAAATCATGATTTCATGGATGCTGGTAACACGCGATTTTTTCCTTATTTGGCATGGAATCAATTTTTTTTGTAATACTTTCCCAACCCTCTAACTCGCTTAGTCTTAATATGGATTCGTGCGTGGGTGTTAACTAGTTTTTTTTAGTTACAAACCGTTCTCATAGCAGATAATTACAGAAAACCATACATATAAAGGGCGAGCAGCATAGAGTACTAAGTTAACCCTTCTAACTCCACAGATATGGGTGATAAAAACAATATTTATATTTAATAACTTTAAATACAGATAAGCCATAGAGTTCAGCAGCAAAAAAAAATAACATTTATAATGTTTTTTTCGCAACTTTAACTACTACCATTAAAGCCTATCCTATAATCAACTGAGAGAAATCTAAATAATATCTACGGAGATAGTAAGAAGCCAGCAGGTTAAAATGTGAATCCAGCATACCGGGATTGGGAGTTAACATCGTAGCGCAGTGGTTAAAAAAGTATTAAAGCGCAACTAAAAGTCGAGGCGCGACTTACTTTTTCTGTTTTAATGATTGCGAATTTAACTTTGCCCTCAAAAATTCTATAGAAAAAGCTGGATAGACAAGGACAATATAAAGAAAGAGTTAAAGACTTTTATAAAGAACACATCAAGTATGTGCATCCTATGCAATGAAGCAACTTATTTTATTCATACGATTTAAATATGCAGACATCGCGTGACTTCGATAACGTTAACTAACATCAATAAAAAATACACAAGAATCGAGGCGTAAGGACTACTTTATTAGTACTGTATAATAATTCTTCGAGTTTCACCGACTAAATTAGTTTTATTATTCTTTAATTGTATAAACCTCTTTTTATGAATTTTTAATGCGCGTTTCTAAATATGGAACTAATTTAATTTTTTCGAGTTTCAAAGTCTTTATTTTTTATATTCTTATTATCGACAATGTCAAAAAGTGGATGGTTGGCATTTTTACGCATACTGTGTAGATATTTTAAAATGAGAGTTTTGTAGCCATAATGTCGGCAAAATTATATATTAAAGGGTTAAATTTATGTTTTTCGGTTCTTATGTAGTAACGAGAGCTATATCCATGTGCCTTCTCTCATTAGTAATATCGCCATTAGTATTTTTACAGATTATATTATTGGTTATGTAAACCCACGTACTACTCTTGATGGTCATAAATTTCATAGTTTTGCCAACTTTTCGGTGGGGGAAAGAGGGGCACCTCGAATTCCCATTCAGTTTACTTCGTTTAGATTTTTGGTAGCGCCCCTTGATGCGTTTGCTAAGCTTTAAAATACGGTCTACGTAATATATAATCATGTATTTAATATACTTCATCATATCGTGCAGCTATATTATTCTCCTGTTTGACACTAGTCCCTATTTTATAACATGCAAATTTCCCGTAGAATATGAATTGGTTCTTAAGCATGCTTGGGTTAGCTAACTGATGTTAAATAGGTAGCTTGTAAATTTAATAACTTTTTTATGAAGGGTAAATATATATATTCTTTTAATAAAATATGCGTGTTCATGTCTTTCGAACTTGACGCTCTCTTGTGCATGAACCCTTCGGCCAACCCATGAGGTTAGTTTAACTTTATATGCCCTGCGTAGAACAGCCGGGTCGCGCGGCTGATAGCCCTAGGAGGCAAACATTTCGAGGAAGTCGGACACAATGGAAAAGGTATATGTCTTTCAACGCTATTGACTTTCTGGAGAAACAGTCAACGGTGTACTTCCGTGTACTGTTTGAATTAGGTGACAGAAAAGAAGCTTTAATGACATTCTCCCCCTAACGCTGCTGTCGACTTCCAGCGAGCTATGACAAGCTTGTAATAAAAACTTTTATTTTTACGAATTTATCTATACAAAAATTTGTCAGTTAATATCTCCGCCGGCTGTTAAAAAAAAACTGGTGCTAAACCGCTTTCATCGGCACATCACCAGCTGCTAGCGCACCTAAAAACAGTCAATTGGATACAGATTAGAGGAAGTTTTCTAAGCTAAAGATGATGGTTGCGCCTTTTTCTAAGATATCGTCAGGTGGATTAGAATCCTTCGCTTACACCTTGACCTTGTCACCACTTACATCGGCGATACCGTGGAAGAAAGTGATAAAGACTAACAAGAAATTTCTTGCTGTTTAATGTTCTGAACTACCTTCTTAACCGTCGATAACGAGACCCTTGAGCCAAGTTTTATCTCGACTAATACATCTCCCTCTGTAAAGCACTGATAAACTCAAACAATCGCTTACTTGTTATGTTAAACAATCACTCGAGTTGCCTATGGATCAGCTTTGATGCCTCGTCAACCTAGTCTTGGTTTTCGGCTTTTTTCCAACGCGATAGGAAATGGCGGTGATATTACTAAGAAACCTCAACTGGTCATTAAAGTCTCGCAAGTATCAACCCATTAGGCTTCTATCATTAACTGTAAGGTAGCTAAAAGCTGGCACACTACAACATTTAAAGGTGATTAAGATTTCTGCGGAAATCTCTTTGCCTTCGTAGTCAAAGTGTTACTTTAGTAGAGCGTCCTAACGAGCTAGTGTCTCTAGATTGTTAGTTCGTAATTTTGTTCTACTAAAGTAGTACTTTGACTACGAAGGCGAAGAGGTTTCCGCAGAGATCTTAAGAGCCTCCTATCTGGGTTTGATTCCCTATTATAGTATATTTACTTGAGCACTTTCTCTCTAGGTTGACCAACCTATTGCGATACCTTTAGCTTTACCTTGGGCTTTCGTTATAATCCCGTATCTTTCGGGTCTACTGTCGTTAAATATAGCATCGTGCAGGAGTAATAAAGCAAGCCAATAAAATACTTGAGCTCGAGCCCCAAGTTGGTGTTAGATAGAATAGATGCCTTGAAAGTGGTGAAAAGAACTAACCCCCGTTAACCTCTAACACGTGTATGCGACGTTGTTATCCTTACGGGAGCATCTTTAGTGTACTAATAATAAACATTAAAGAATGCTGTCATGTAGTTATTTTACTCGGTTGTATGCAAGTCCAGGAAGGAGTCGTAATCTTGATACTTGCCTATGTTCCCGCCCTTGCCTTAAAATATCTTTATTGTAGTCCTTTTTACCAATAAAAATGCAAAAAGTTTGTTTGGCTAATTTTAACTTATCTAACTTGAAGTATTATTTATTATTTAGATAGATAGAAAGCCCTTTGGAATTACACAGTATACAATAATGCTATTTGTATAGAGTTTTCTGTAACTGTCTTATTGCAAACCTGTCCGAGGCACCCTTTCAACTCGGTGTAAACTCGTTGTGTCATATTATTGCAGAACAAATAAAGACTCTGAAAGTATAAAAAATTATAAAAATAACTTTGTTTGTATGGCCTTTAAGTAATGGCGTAATGATCTAAATTAGCTTGCTACACGAAAAAAAAACTTTGAGGTTAGTAACTACAAAAGGCGACTAATTTAGGACTAAGCTAGTTTAATAATGTAAACATAATAACTTTAGGGATAAAATATTACTCAGATAATACTAATATAGTGTCTTTAAAAATGATAAACAGGACACATTTGTACTGGCTAGTAGTACTAGTTGGTAAAGTGAAGGCTGAACTAATTAGCTATATACTAACGATCAACTATCAGGTAGGTACCATGATCTTAATACTTGTCCGGAGTATCATTGAAACATGTGGAGGTGTGAGGGTTCATGTCTTAAGAGCCTCTGGGTAGTTTTATACACGTTTATTAGAGGCATGAATATGTTCTACTCCTTGTACTGACCATTTTTACTATTTTAGAAAAGAGGTATTTTTACATAATTAAGCTTCCAAAAAAATCTTATGAGAGGCAATAGTGTAACTAAGTCAGTTCCTTTCAAAAAAACACTCTACAACTCAACAGTTTTTTGATATTTGTAAATATGGTAAATGAAAAACCTTTCGTTATGACATCGACTATTACAGTATTTTAGTGTTGTTAAATTTTTTTGTAAGTTCGAGGGATACACACAGTGCCAGCGCATTTTGTAATTGTATTTCTCTCTTTCCCATTTTTTTGCTATATTTCTTATATACGTGCAATTATTTTTGTCCTGCTGGCTGAAGATCTCGGCATTGCAAGGAAATTCACCGTCTTTTATGGTAAACTGAAAAAATTATGCAGTTCTACCTTAACTTATTGATTTAGAGTGATCAACTACTAACTCAAATTATCAGAATTTTTGTTTGTAGGGTAGTCGTTGACGTACCCACCAGGCCAGAAGTTGTACCCGGCAAGAATCGAACCGCGACCTTGAGATCGCGCCACAAAAGCACTAATTACTGAGCTTCGGTGGCAACCCATATGTTTGGTCGACAAATTACGTATATAAGTTAAAATCGTGTAACTGCTTTAAAAATACCTATAAGCCCATATACTTATGTTATATAAAAAAAGAAAGAAAAAGTACTTAGCGAAAGACTTTAATTACATTCCCTCTTTGCGAGGAGGATTAAGACCAAGGGTCACTTATAATTTTAAGGTTGCAATAAATTCAAGCAGTTTAAGTTGTAGCAGACGAAAAAACTGGTATTTTCCAAACGATAGGCTGTGTAGTTCGTGCAATTTTTTCTCTCTGTTCCATCCTTCTAACTTGTTAATGCTCGCCAGGGTCTACCCCAGAAAGCTTGTGTTACAATAAAAAAAATTTTGTAGGTTTAAAACTTAATGTTTAGGGCACTCTAAGTAAAGTTAGCCCGATAGTCATATAATGTAGATGGTTAATTTGCGTTATGTGCTATTTTGAGTAATATTGTTCTAATACGTCTAAAGCTTAAAACGCTAAGGAAGATCAATTAGTGTTAAAAGTTAACAATAATTATGATGCACTATTAAGAAAGCTAATGGCCATAAAAGTGGAGAAGAGCACGCTCTACAGTATATGTGACTACCCGCTAGTCCAAGACAATATTTTTAGGTGTAGAGCGAAGCTATTTAATAAAAGTTCATTTCATTTCTACTCGTTAGTTAAGAGGCGTTTTAATTTATATTTAATGAAGAGTGGTCAGAAAAAATTGTGTAAATTTATCATTCTAAACATTATATATATAACGTTACAAAGCACTTGGTGATTTTATAAGATAAATTGGTACGTAGGTTACTGCTTACGATTTAAACTATATGCTTATAGCTTGTCTGTGTATCTAATTTTAAAGCTCCCAATACAACGCTATAATGTTTTTTATTTACAATTGAAGCCTCAATAGCAATCCTTATGTTTCTATTAAACTATTCGTAATCAAATTTTCCTTTAATTTTTATACTTCATAATTACCGAGGGTTAATATATTAACAATAAATTAATAATGCTGGAACTTTAGCCAGCTGGCCTAGTGTGCGGAAAACTACTAGCTGACCCCGATTAAGACTACTAATACCAGCTGCACATTGCCAGTTGCCCCTCAAACTTATTTTCTACTCTCCACAGCTAATGAACGCCAAACAACGATGTTAACGGGGTACTTCTTTTTTTAAATAGTTACTAGTTTGTGTATAATGTCAGCAATTAGTAATAAGGGTCACCTATGCTTCTTCTTTAACCTTTTCCTAAGTAAAAGTGTTATTCTTTGTGATAAATCGCAGCATTTTAGCTCATATTTATAAGGACAATCTAATTGTCAAAAGCTTTAGCTTCACAATTCTTCCCGTAGATATTAAAACTTCCTTTATTTTCAATATTATAAATCGAGAAATCAAGTACGCTAAACCTTCAACTTTATATAGTTTCATACATGGAGATGCATATTTATAATTTTATTTTCTCATCTCTTTGTTATTTCTTTAAGCTATATGCTAATAATAGCAACGAGAAGGTTTTCGAGTTTAATAGTTTAACGAAGTAAAGTCGTACATCTTAATATTCGGCCCTTCAGTCCCAGATACCAGCACATTTTCGTCAAAGTCTACCTTCGCATATACCATGACTTTTATACAAATAAAATAAACTTTTTTTATTTACTTTTAACACACGTGATCCAATATTTAAAGTGGCCAACAAAGTTCCAGTCCTCTTTTGCCATATCTTAATAGTCTTTTTTGTTAAAACAAAAAAAAAAGTAGTTATTACCATCCTAGTATCATTAGGTTTAACAGTTAAATCGTTCAAAGATTAATACTTTAAAGGGAAAGAAAACGAAGTAAAGTGGGACTACTTTGTCATAAGATCCAGATATAACATAGTTATCAAAAGCTTTTAAGCAACGAATCAGCATTGTGTGAGGAGTATCATTTGACCACCCAGAAGAGAGTCCTTTAAGCCGGTCACATAATTGATAACGCGACTTTTAAATTACTGAACCAGCTAACCAGTGTCCATGTTCCAGCATTTTATCGAGTTTTCTAATGAACCTCCCGCGTAAAGAAAGGAACCCGTTAAGCACAGACAAGTCACCCCGCTTGACGGCAAAGATGCTAAATATTCCCCTTATATAAAGTACGAAACAAAAAAACTTAAGTTTTGTTAAATAAAAAACCTGTTTCGATATTCCATATTTTGATGGCCTCTGTTCTAGCGGAAGAGGCAGAAAAAACAAATTTTTCGTTAAATTGAACCATATTCACAGAACTCTAAAAAAATTAAATGATAGTTATTATTTCTTTATGGGCTGATGAGTCTTAAAGGTTTATAGAAAAAAAAATACTTCGCTATTAAATCCACTTATTTGACCGCACACGTAAATTTTGACAGGACAAGTGAAAAGAGCAATAGAACTACTATGACACATTAATAAACCGGCGACGATGTTGATGCCATATAAGTTAACCCGTCTTTTTCTTTCTCGAAACTGCTGAGACGTACTAACGTTTTATTAGGCCATACTTAAAAAGCGTTACATCTTTTTATAAGGGCCGTATCAAAGTTATCCTTTCACGCCCAAAATTTAACCGTAATTTGCTTGCAGCTACATAATTCGCGAGGAAAAAACTAAACACAAGCTGTTAAACTAAGTACGCTGAATCTGGCGTACCTTACTTGACATATCTTCGTCCATAAGTCTACCACCCGAAAATAAGTATACAGCTATTTTAAAGACTTCTAAAATAATTCAGTTACAAAAGTGCTAAGATACCACCTAAACAGAAAAAGAAATGGAAGTTTGCACTCAATACTTGCCTTCTTATAGACCCTTTTGATGGTCATAGTACCTACAGACCGTCATCGGCAATTATATACAAATATCTAATACCTACTTTAAATATTAAAACACAGTCTACGCATAAAAGGTTCATGACTACAATACGGGACGCAAAAGTGTGGCTATTTTCTGTATATGGGGGAGCGTAAGCTTAACTGCTACTACTGAAGAAATTATATAAGAACTTTTCATAAAATTCAGTGAAACCCAATCTTTAAGATATAAGCGATACAATCGAGTAGTATAATAAGTAACCCGCAAAGGTCACTAATCGTTAACTAGTCACCCAAGCCAAAAAGTTAAAGTAGGCTTACGGAAGAGAAATGAAATAATTATCTTCTTATTACTATAATTATATAGTGTTTATAAGAACCTCATGGCCGACAAGAGTATGAACCAACTTGTATTTATGCAAACAATCACAATCCTCAAGTGCTAATCATACCTAAAAGTATTACGTTACTACTACTAAAAATAAAGTAAAGTCACTTCTTTTGGGATGACAGGGCACCCAAATCTTGATGGATCTGTCCTTCGAGCAGCTCACTAGCCGTCCAGCATCCGCCTTAAAGTGTAACACGGCATTAATGTGACCTACGAAGTATACAGGTGACACGCGAACAAAGGTTTATTAATACACAAGTGATAGAAGGTAAATGAACATATAAACCGGTGCGAGGCCCGAGGGTCGATGTGAGGGAAAAAGTTTGTAAAGACCAAACTCTGATAGTTGAGTCACTGGAGGAACTAATATAAATCAATAAATGTAACTGTGAAGTCGAAAAAAATAGTAAAAGCGCCTTAAAACTCGATCATGAAGCACTTGAGCGCATAAAACGGATCCCGTGTGACCGTTAAAAGTGTATAGTTCTTTCTTTTTTGTTAAGCTCCATAGTTTAACTGAGTGATCTTTAGAACCAGACACAATAAAATCCTTTATGAAGAAATAATATTCACTAAAACTTTAGAAAATTTTCAGGTAAAAAGTTAATATAATAACAGCTATTCAAATTTGTTAAGTCTGTAAAAAATATGTTCTTAAAACTTTTTGTAGGTATATAACACTTTCGTGATAGCTTAGAATTGTAACACTTTAATGATTTTTAAGACATCCAACTAATGCCTAGTTTAAAATTTTTGTGGTCAGCAAAACAATAAATTAGAATGAAATAGTTTCAAAACTACCAAAACTTTGCATCTTTCTAAAAAGATAAAGCCCCTGTTGATATTTTGGCCGCAAAAAGAATAAGAAATGAGAGTCTAGGAGTAAGTTTACTCTATTAAAGCTGCTTGCTATATCCCCGCCACCAAACAGAAAAATTATAAGGGTTTATGAATAGTGTTCCTTTCGCTGAAAAAAGTAAATTGTAACTCAAACTATTAAAGTATATACAACTTTTTGCAATTGACCGAGAAAGGATACTACGATAACAATTTAAAAATTAAAATGTAAAAAAACCTTATACAACACGAAGAAACCCAAACTGCTATTAAACGATTTAAAAAAAATTCGTAAACTTACAATAATAAAATCTGAATATAAAATTTAAAGGCCTAACTTCTTTTTGAACATTGTACCTATTACTAGTAAAAAAACAAAATAAATTTGCTTATAAACCTTCTCACATATAAAACTCGTAAACTGAAGGTTTTCTTAAAAGTAGTTATGAATTTATGGCTTTTTAAACAAGTCCTGGATCACTATATAAGAGCTCTAGATATGCATGTCATACGAGCATCTATTTAGTAACAATGATGGTCAACACTTCTTTAAACGGCAAGGTGACTTTTGTCATAAAAGCCAAGCAAGAGGAAATTCCGCAAAAAATTTAAGTTATAACAAACAAAAGGAACTTATAAGTTTGTGATATAGATGCGTAAATATTTTTCTTTTAAAGCAGAAGCGCTAAAAGCAAATGCAGAAAGTACATGCCGAACATCAAATATCATCAGAACATGGAGAGGTAGATGCTAGATGGTCTGTAATAAAAACCAGATCTCAACTTATAATATAACCCATTTGCTGGTATAAATATGAAAATATAAGCTATATATCGACAATAAATTTGATAAAGTAAAGTTATTTTTTTTACTTCATAAATATGAACGGTATAAACAGCTTTAGCGTGCCCTTCCAAACTATGAACTTTGGCTTTCCCCCCTTTCCAATTATTTTCAATTCTTTTACGCTAATAACAGAATTAAACGCAACAAAAATATTAAAAAGGGTAAATATTCTCAAAAAAAAATTAGCGCCACAAATGAAAACAATAAACAGATATTAATCAAATTGGTTAAATAATATTATAGTGGATATTATAAGGAAGCGTAAAAACCTCGAAATATATAGCTTTCCAGTCAGTTCTGGATAGCTCTGTATTCTGGTCCGCAGCTGCTGTTAAGTCACTGTTTCGCAGAAAGTAGAGTACTACAGTAACTAAGATAACCTTTTGAACTCCAACCTTTAGAAATGCACAAGCATCGCCAAACAAAATTCGCTGTTACAATAAGTTGATTCCAACTTTTATTAACTAATAAACAAGAATAAACACTTTCGGGATCCAAGTGCTTAACTACTAACTTGACCTAAAGTGATAAAGTAATTATTATTTAATAGTAAAAAAAAAAAAAAATTAATTTGTAAAAAACCAATTCTGAGGGTAAACAACCCAAAAGCTTAGTACTCGGAAGTATAAGCGACTTTAACTTTTTAAACAGTTGTCTCTGTTTTGAAAAAGAACATAAAGGTATAGAAGGGAAAAGATTTAAGTAAAATGGCGTATATAAAGCTAGTAAAAAACTAAACTCTTTCTGACAAAGTTGCTTGACTAGCCCACTGTTCAAAAAATTGTAGTAATTCCTCCTCCAATATAGTTTTGTTGTAAGCCTTATTAACCTAAACTTTAAATAAAAAATTAGTAAAGAAACTGTGACTTAATTGCTATAGATCCACATATAAAGTTACAGGTCTCAGGTTATAATCACCACAAACATTACTAGAAGAAGACGTTCCTTCTCCATGGGTAACCGTAGTTCTGCCCTGAAAGCCCAAGTCAATGTTAGTATGACCTACTGTGGGGCGCTTTCCTATCAATGGTCAAACAAAATATTATTTGTTAAAATGTTAGTAGTGTTTCCTGACGCTCGATAGAGTTACACGAGCTCTCACACAGGGTTTTAGTCGACCACGAGAACAAGGGGAGGTAATCATTTATAGATTGTGGTCAGCAGAGTCTGTATCATTGCGGTCAAACCAGGCGCTTCTTTTAAAGCGCAACAGTTTATTTTATCGCACTTGAAGGCAAGAGGTGTCAAAATCGGCCAAATGTACGGCACATGTCGTTTCTTTGTTATGAAAAGCGCCTTGCTCTTTGATGCGTAAAATAAATAGGTCCCACTGTCGACACCATCTAGCAAGGGCGTTGAGATAAAATTGACATAGTAAAACAGGTGACTCTGACGTGAATAATTTATTCTAGCATCGCCGTAAATGGCTACCCGGGTGTGAGGGTGGACTGGAAGAGAAATGTCGCTCGTATAGAGCGCGAATAGAAGCGGTGATAGGAGAAATCCTTGCCTGATTCCCTCTGAGATAGCGAGGAGACGATAGTGCAGCACCTACTCGCACGTTGAAGAACCGGCAGGGTTTGGTACGACTTGAGGGGCTTCTGGAAGGCCGGGCGGCATCGCTAAAGCATGTAGATTGTTTAACAGGCCACCACGTCATACTCGGTCAAAAGTCTTTTCAACGTCGAGAATGATAGCGTCGGTGGCGTTCTTAAATTTAAAGGCTGGTATGATCGTCCACTCAGTTAGGCGAAGAATTTGTTGGGTGTTGAATGTCGCTAGCGAAATCCAACTAAAACTGGTAAATTCCCACTAAGCTCCACAACCGCCTTCAAACGATTAAGCATCACTGCTTAAACCACCTTACCAACTGCCGAAAAAAGACTGGTAGGTTGATAAGTTGGGAGGCTATGGTGCCAGCTACATTGTTTGCGGTATCATCATGATTACCGCCATTTTCTGCCACTTTTTATTGCTGGAGATTTAGCCGAAGCCTCTGGCTATAATTTAAACATAAAGTTAGTAATGCCTTTAGGACCGGGCACCTTCCGCTTCGGTAGTAATCTGACTATTGACTTGACCTCAGCTGTGGTAGTCAGCTCCGAAAAGTCATTTGTATCAGTCGAGATAAGATTGGCCACAAGAAAAGCGTTATCGACGGTTGAGGGGGTAGAGGTAAACACTGGGAGCTAAATATTAGAGTAAGGTTTCGCATTGTGCCTTCAACGCTTTCGGTTACAATTTAGCCGATGGGAAAAAGGAGGCGCGATCAATGTTACCAACTTCCGATACGTCGTTTAAGTTGCTATCCCAGTGGCAGTTTATATGCACCATAAACTTTTTTCCTGTTGTGCCGGTGAAGGCGTTCTGGCACTAGTAGGCGTTCTACGCGGATAATTCGTCGACGCTCGCATAATAATACCTTTTAGTTCCCCAGGAAGGCGTTTAAAGCGGAACACAACTTCACGGGTAGTCGTTGCTTTGCTGTAAGCCTCTTTCACCGCGCGTCAAACTGAAAACGACACTGTTTAGTTAGCGGGAGTTTCGAGTGGCGTCGTAAACGGTGGAAACGCCTTTTCGGGCAATTGGGTGAATTAGTTCCAATTCATGTAAGGTCGGGTAACTGTCTTTATTGCTTCCCCTCCGCCGGCCAATTCGAGCAGAATAGGCTAATGATCCACCGACAATTCATTTAGCGCTTCACTAGCCGGAAGGTTTTTTTAAAAAACCGGCGATAATCCAACACGTCCATAGTGTTCGGTTTCTTCGCCATGTGTTTTGGTCACTGTGGTCCTAGGACTCTCAACTACGTTCCTCAGCGAAAGCGTCAGGGATGTAGCCGTTCCTGAGAGCTGGCTGTTCTACGCAGGATATATACAGATAAAAGAATCGTATAGAATGGTCGGAAAATCTATGCAATAGAAGGGGTCAACATCGAACAATGTGAGTTGTTGGCTGGGCGGCTAGAGCTTGCAGTCATGAACATGGGCACATGGGCACATGGGCACCTAGCTAGAAAATTGAGGGTAATACCAACTGTTTCCATCCCATACAAAGCTGGTAATTCTATTTTTAAATTGTGTTAAATGCTTCGGTAGACCAGGATAACTACCTCCATTATTAGTGTACAAACCCCTCCGCGCTTTAAAACCGTAATCGGATGTTAACGTATCCCGTCTTACCTCTCTAGGCTATCTTCTGATATCCGGCAGTGGATAAACAATTAGTTAGCTTTTCATTGTCTTCATCATTATAGAAAAGTAGAGCCTTCTTTTTGTTACATGATTTACCTACGCTTACTGAAGGATTCATTAAGCACTCACGTTTATCAAGCGCTGCGGTCTTGTGATTAAATTTATTTAGAAAGCTTATCGCTTTAGTGAGAGTTAGATAGTTGTGGGTCATAAATGCATTAGCATCCGACCTTTTCCAGGTCTTAACTTTTTTCGGGGTGGTGTTTTTTTCATTACTTAAAAGAATAGCTTCGAGGCATAATACGACGTAGACTCTTTTTCTTTTAGGTTTTAGTTCGTTGTGGAATGGTCATTCTTTAAATGTTTAGTCTACGCGTACCTTAGTACATATTAGGTAATAATACCTAGATTTGGACATTAGATGAGGAAAAAGTACCTTGTATTTAAGTTAGTTGTCAGTAGTCTCCACTCATGAGTCTAGCAACCGTGATAGTATACATTCTTTTTGGATTTTTAACGAGCATTTTTTCGCGACATGGTGGGCTAATACCGGCAAAGCCTTCGTTTTTACTAGCATAATAATGGTTAGTACCCCCTGGGCATGGTTTGAGAGAATCTTTATTAAAAGTAAAGTTGGTAATGTTGAACCTTTTTTAGTGTAATTGGCTAGGATTTAAGTAGGGAATAATGTCCTATTTAGTAGACCATTTCCCTAGACGAACCTCGAAATAAATAATGAAGACGCATTAGAGAGCTAATAGCGATTAGCGCAATAACTAATATGTCCTGAGGCATTAATTAGGTATTGAACTTAAAGTGTGCACGGTTTATGTTTTGAGTAAACTCTACTGTAATATTTTAGGTAGTCAGGACTCTTTTCAAGCCGTGTGGACTACCTACTTTTTATACAACTATTAAATTTTACCCTCGGTCTGTTATTGTTCATCCGCAATTACCATCCATAAGGCCACTTACACACGTCATTTTAACATATATAGCTGCACAATTTCGAGAGCGACCGTCAATATTCTCTTATACATGATACTTAGGATGCTTATTTATTTTTAGAACTTGATAGATTAAAAGTGTGTCTTGACCCCAAACCGGTCAGCAACTTGATACCTTTATTTTTCAACTAGTTACTTATTGCTAAAGTAGTGTTTTTTACTAGTGATAGAACGATTAGGAAAAATGTGGAAATAGTGCTATTTTTTAGTAACTAATTAACAATTTTTAACCAAAATTAGTAAGATTTCTACTAAATTGTTAAATTATGCTAATAGTAATTAGAATTATGAAACATTATCTCACAATAAATACGTTTTTAGTGTATTCACTGAGATTTTTTTTTTCGTGTTTATTTTTCTGATTTCATCAAAAAATATCTAATAATTATTAATAAAGTAGGTATTATAACATCAAAATTATCACTAAGGTTTGAGAGAGCAAGACCAATCTAAAACAATACTAATACTATATTTCATTAATCTTTTATCATGAAGAATTTAAAGTCCTACTTAAGAAAAACCAACTTCTAGAACTCTTGGAATGCTGAGAATCTGTTCTACTCAAGCAGAACGGAAAAAAAGCCCTTGGAAGGAAAAAGAAAGTTATTTCTTTTTATTATAAAAACTACCTTGGTCATTTACCAAGGTATATTAAATATCACCTTTAAAGCATCTTCGAGGGTCGGCTTAATAAATTGCCTACATAGCAGGTCAACCAAGGTATGAATAGTGATTCATTTTTTTTCCATTTCCCTTTTTTCGAGATGTTTTTTTCCCCTTCTACTTGTGCCCAACGAACTCACTGTAGTTAAAACGTATAGTAGACCTTTGAATGACGGCTTCTAAGCCTACATCGTATTAATAATAGCGTTAGAGGCCAGCGAACGTTTGATGAGCATTAGTGCCTTAATTTATAATAGGTGAATTATAAGAAGGATTGGTTAGTATGAGCTACAAATTAAGCCAGATCCTTGATACTTGAAGTAGTGACTTTTAATCTTAAACAAATGAGTCGAAAGATTAACATAATGAGTGATACGTGTAAGCGCTAGCGTTTTTGTCCTCCCTTTTATCTTGAAAGCTGTCGGATACTTCGCGTTAGATGGCTCGTTTTTTTGGACTTTGCATGGTATAAGTTTTAGCAATTATTACGTCAGCAAATACTCAGAGCGATCTAATGACTCGGATGCCCCTCGCAGAAATTCTGAATGATTTCTGATAAGGTTGTCGTCGATCATGCCAAACTACTATTAAGGTCTTCGACTAGGAAGTAATTTTGGTTTTATAAATTATTAGCACTGTGTTACGGCGTCTTGACTACCATTGAAAGCTCTTTTCTCTAACTAGACTTGGGCGTTCACACTTTGAGTCTTGAATATAAAAAAAGAGATAATATTCGTACTAAAGCAGTAGTATCTCTTCTATATAACTTGTTTACTAAAGTTTTAATCTTTTTTGGGCTCGCACGATCCTTCAATGACCCGGGAAGGATGCGTTAGGAAATTTAGAGAGTGTATGCCATCCTAAATGTTAAAGACGATGCGTAAGGTGAAAGTATTCTAAAGCAACTCCTATTAATAAAAATTAAATTTAGTGAATAAATAATCATCGTCTTAATAGAATAAACCTAGGATTAAGAAAAAGTAGAAGTCTACTTAGTACCATACTTATAGTTGGGGAAAACCGCCGGAAACCTCAACCTGAGGGTAGTACCAACTGCCCCTCCAAATCTTTAGCCTAGCCAAAAGTTCTCGTTTGTAGTTCCTGTAATCG